GTGTGTGTGTGTGTGTGTGTGTGTGTGTGTGTGTGTGTTTTCCCCAGCACACAGCATCCTTTCCAGCAATCCGCTGAGTGCTGAACAGCCTTGCCATATCTGGCACCCAGGTCAGCTGTGACTGTCTACTTTCAGCCAGAGCTCACACGCTTTTTCAGACCCCCCCAAGACCAGCTCTGAACCTCCAGGTTGGCGTTGAATCTGGTCTTCTCCTTGGAAGCTCCCTACAGTCTTCTGCATGTTTCCTGAGGTGCTGAGGACCTACAACGCCATCTCCTTCCTCCATCGCTCTCATGAGTCTGTGCTTACAGATCCTTAGGATGTGCTGATATGGTGCCTGAGGTACCTCCCCATCGGTACCTGAGACACGGCTGGTTTGAAGAGAGCTGAGCTGGGAGGTAGAATATGAACTGGCTTTCAAAGAGTGTGGACAGAGGATACAAAATATGCCACTCAGATATTTACATAGATTAATGCTGAGATGATATTTTGGACATATTTGATCAATACGATGGTCATCATTCATTGCCCTAGTTTCGTTTATCTTCTTAATTTGACAAGTGAAAACCTTTAGAATACACGTGTTAATATGTGGTTTCCTTGACATTTCTAGTAGTCAGTTATTACTATTTTGGGGTCTTCTGTTGGCACACACATGTGGGAGGCAGCCATGTGCGTGCGTGCATGTGTGTGTGTGTGTGTGTGTAGAACTCAATATCTCGCCCATGCTGGGCAAGCATTCTACCACCCCGATCTGTTGATCTATATTTAGTCCCCACCACTCACTCAAAATTCTCTCCTCTCTATCATGCCTATGAAAAGGCTGCCCCCAGCTAGCCACACTCTAAGCCTAAAGCTCTTTCCCATCTACCATTCCTAGTGCTTTTTCTACCCGTCATTTCTTCACATAGTTCTTCTTTCTAACATAGCTTTTACCCACACACTCAAATTATACTGAAGTTCTGGGCTTTTTCTTCCTCTGTTTTCATGAAGAGTGACATCTTTCTTAATTCTTAGCCAGTTGAAAAAAATTTTTTTTCATGTATTTCCCAAAGAATATAATTTTTTCATTCTCCAAAATGGCCTATCTTCACTATAAGCTTCCCCCCTCTTCTTTCCTTTTCCCTTTAAAGCTAGGATTTCAAGTAACCCAGGCTGGTTTCCAGCATAATATGTTTGACTTTGAACTCCTCATCTGTCAGCCTCCACCTCCTAGTTAGAGGTGCCAGCACGCCCAGCTATCCTATAGGTCACTTAAAGGGGCTAGCAATTACACATTAAGCATTCAACAAGTGTGAAGGGGCAATGACTTCAGCCAGGGCCACCCAGCTGTCCCCACTAGGACAGCAACTCTTCCTCTTGTCATTTGAAGAACTATGTTCTTCCCAGACTCTTTCTGTGGAGGTTCCTGTCTCATGAGATGCAGCAGAGAACTCTCTCACTCCATCCATCCCAAGCCCTCCAAGACAAGCCTCCCATAGAAGGTTTGAAATGGAACCCATAGAAGGTTCCATTTCCCATCATCCTCAGTGGCCATGTGCTGCTATTCTCCAGATGCATTTTATGCTCAACATTTTGGTAACAGCACTTTCCTTTCCGCAGCCGTGTCAGGGAAAACTCACACCTAGAAAGGCGGATGAGAGGCTGACAAAGGGCTGGGGCAGCTGTGCAGGGAAAAGACAGGTTGCAGTCCCAGGCCAGGACCGTGCCCCGGCGACCCTCGGGTGTTTCCTCTGAAGCCTGCCTTCTTTATTGCTCCTCTAGCCCCTGAGGTGATGCTACGATAGGTCTTCCCACGGTGGGGCAAGAGCTTCAACACAGAGACTGCAGAACCCTCCCGTTACATAGCCAACAAAGCCCCTTCCCCGTGCTCCAACACCAGCATACCTTCTCCTGTTTTTCAATCTTTTTTTTTCTTCTTCTTTTTTTTTTTTTTTTTTGGTATGAGTGTGCATGTGGGGATTACAACACTTTTTTTTTTTTTTTAAGATCAGAAAATCTGTTCTCCATCACTTTTTTCTGTGTCCCCAGCCACCCATCGCCCTCAGCCCTGAAACGCCCTGTAAAGAACAATACTCCTGGTGCTGACACTCTCAGCGTGGGCTGGCACCTTCTCTCCCAGTCCTCCAATGACAGGACTCTTTCCCTCACACATTTTTTCAGTGAAGTTTCTCACTTTTCATTCAGCCCAGAGTTCCTCTGCCCACAGACAGCCCGTTCCCTGCTTGAAATCTCCAGACCCCTCCACCAACTTGTCACAGCTCTTTCCTTATTTCTTTCTTCTCTGAATTCTCTTCTCTTCTCGTCCCCTCTATCGATATATTTGGTTGAATAACCAGTATTGGGTTTGTTTCAGAAAACAACCCCCCGTTACACACACAGTGGAGAGAAGGGCTGAGGGCCCTGGCAATGTGTTCTCCCATGGCAAGGGAGGGCCCCCCAGTTCTGTTCCACCTGTGGGTTCCCTCTTACTTTTCCTCAACTCTAGGCTGAGTTCTGTGTCTGGCTCTGCTCCCTGGCTCTGTGGCCTCCACAGCGTCTCTTCAAAATCCGGAACTATCCGGACCCTTCCTTCTGGTTTCCATCCTCCCTCTTGTCCAGAGAACACTGCCTCCTGTCTCCAAGATGTTTCTGTTCTGCTTAGGGTCCTCCTGAGGGGCCGCTGCTCTGCCTTCCGATCCTCTTGGACCAACCAGTTTGGAAAAGGAATTCACAACAGATGAATCCCCTCAGCCAAAAAGTCCAGGACCAAATAAAAAACAGAAGAAAAGGCTTCTTGACAGCACCCCCGGCGTCTGAAAGAGTGAACAGCCTGCGGCAGTTTCACGGCAGAAACTTGTTATCAGGAATTGTCTGTCCTAGCCAATGACTCTGGGACGCTGTTTCTGCCTCTGCTACGGTCAGCCTCCGAACGCTTTGGGTCATTTCCACCGGCTGAGCAGATGCCATGAATTGTGGAGCAGAAGTGGGTTCGTCCTAATGTGGAAGAAGTTTAAGCTCTCTATCCTTGCACGGGCTTTTTTTCTTTCTCTCTTTCTTAATTAGAACCCACCAGATTGCATAAGCCTTGATCCCAGCGCACCTGCCTCCGGCTGCATAGGAGAAAGCCTTTCGGCTTGAGGGTACCGAGGTCAGGACAAGAGGGCTTCAAGGGAATGGGTTCTGACCAGGGTCTGTTAACTACACCCTGTCTCTGTGGGGACGGCGTCCTCCCTAGGAGAGCCCAGGGCTCTTGAATTACCTGTCGGCTGAAGCTTAGAGGGATTCTTAATTTGTCTTTATGCCACACCCAGCTCAGCCTTTTGGCATCGCCAGTCCTGGCCGGCCCTGGTCCAACAGCCAACCTGTTTCGTTTAGATCTAGTCTAAACGAGAGCTGGAGAGTGACCTCTGCTAAGGTGAAGCCACAGGCTCAACAGACCCTCCTTTTGCCCTGCGTCCACAAAGCCCGCGCCCAACCGTTTGAGTGCTGAGGGGTCGACCCAGAACGCGCCCCCACGTCCTAAACCGACAGCTGCCCCAGCACGCTGTCACCCTAAGGTCCTGCTGGGGCCCTCGGGGATCCCTCGAGAGAAGAAAAACGAAGGGATCCGGAAAGAGAGCCGGGGCAGGGCTTGCGGACCACAATGCGGCGGGAAGGGAAGCGGGCGAGGCTGCCGGCGCCCCGGGGCCAGGGCAGGGCGCTGGGACCCGGAGGTGCGAGCCGGGGTCCGGCGCCCCAGGGCTCCGCGCGGGCGGCGGGAGTTCCGGACGGCTCCCGGGTCTGGGGGGTTCCTGACGGTCTGGCCCGGGCGGGTCCCCGCACTTACCCGGCAGACTCGGGAAAGTCTCGGAGAAGTGCGGAGGCTGGGGCGGCGGGGGCTCAGCCACTTTGTCGCGCGCCGGCAGCGGCTCGTCCGAGTCCAGCGCTCCGTCGGCGCGCCGGGCGGCGGGCTCGGGGTGGCCCCGGGGGGCGGCGGCGGCGGCGGCGGACAGCTCCGGGGGCCCGTAGTAGGCGTCCGGGGGCTCGGCGAAGCTGGGCAGCGCGGTGGTCAGGGCCACCATGGAGGGCACCGCCTGGCCCAGCCCCGCGCAGAAGGTGTTGCCCAGGCGGCCGGCGAACGAGGCGAGCGGGGCCAGCGGGGGCAGGCCGGCGGGCAGCGGCGCGGGGGCCAGCGCCTGCGGCAGCACGAGCGGCCGGTAGGGCACGAACATGGGGTAGCCGGTGTAGAGCAGGTGGCCCGAGCGCGGGGGCGGCGGCCCGATGAGCGAGTCGATGGAGAAGGCGGCGCCCGGGCCCCCGCCGCTGCCCCCGGGGCCGCCGGCGCCCGCCGCCCGCTGCATGGCGCTGCCCCGGCCCCGCCGTGCGCCCCGCGCCGGCACGCAGGGCTCGCCGCGGGCGCGCGGGCCGAGGTGGCGGCGGGGCGCGGGCTCGGCGCGGTGTGGCTCCGGCGCCGCGCTCCCTCGCTCATAAGGAGGGAGGGGGCGGGCGGGCGGGCTGGGGGTGTCGCCCTCCGGACTCATCCATCTTCCTCAAATTACGCTTCGCTGGCTCCCTCCGCCCGCCCGCCCGCCGCCGCGCCCGGCTCCCGCGCCCCGGGGCCCCCCGCGCGCCTTCCCAGACGCCCGGCCGGCCCGGGACCCCCGCCCTCCCCCCCGCGGCCCACCCAACTATTAGTAATGCAGATTGATGAGGCCGGGCCAGCCGCTTTGTGAAAGTTTGCGGCGGCCGAGGAGGAGGAGGAGGACGACGACGAACAGGAGGAGGAGGAGGGGGCGGCAGCAGCTGGCCCGGGGCCCCTCCCCGCGCCCGGACCTGCTCCCGGTTCGGCCCACGAGGCTCGGGCTCGGCGTGGCTCGGAGGGCGAGGGGGGCTCGGCGGGGCGGGGAGGAGGGGGTGCGCGTGCCGCGGGGACCGACACCCGCCCGCATCCCGCCCCGGGGCGCACGGCCCCGCGGTCCCCGGGAGCCGGGCCGCGGCGGGAGACGGCAGGGGGCGCGCTCTCCGCCCAGGGCTCCTTGCGCGCCCGGGGCCCCTCGTGGGCGACCGCTCTCCCACTGTGCGCCCAGCCCCTTAGCACCCTCTGCCCCAGACTCGATTCTCCAGGCATTGGCTCTCGACTCTTTTCCTTCCCTTCTCCTCTGTCTCCAACTTCTCGCTTCCGCGGGGATCCCTGGGCCCACACTGGGCCAAGTGTTTAACCTCCCTTCACCTTTCCTCCTCCATCTCTCCCCAACCCTTTCCATTCTTTCCCTTCCTCGCGCCCTTTCTTCCCTTTTGGCCTCCTAAATTCTGATTCCTTTTTTTTTTTTTTTCCTTTTTCCTCTCTCCCAGTCCATCTTACTCTATTTTCTCATTCCCTGCCTTTATCCGTATTCTCTCTCTCTCTCTCTCTCTCTCTCTCTCTCTCTCTCCATTAATTTCCCTGATTGGCTCCCTGGCTCCAGCGCGTCTGATGAGCCCTATTCATTGTCGGGCCTGACGCTCTCGACCTGCCCTGGCTGATTGCTGGGGGCTGGCCCCAGGAGCGCTGATGAGCCCCAAGGGTCAGCGGTGCTAATTATCTGCTAATTGTAGATGACTCTGCTCACCTCCCCCGTACGGCTTGACTGTCCCCCTCCTCCGATTCCCAGCAGCAGATTTGTCGTTGTGGAGGCAGAAGTCATTGGCTTTTGGCTGCATAAGCACCTCGGGTCAGAGAGCGAGAACAAGACAAGCCAGAGGAGTGGCTCAAGCTCGAGGCAGAGCACGACCGACAAAAGTGCAGCCTTTGGACCGGGGACTTACGCAGGTGGGGTCAGGAAAAGCCTAATAGTTAAAAGGAGCACAGCAAAGCCAGACAAGTTCAAAAGGTGCAGTTTAGGGGAGCGAATGATCCTAGTCAAGAGGAAAAGCCTACACGACGCAGAGCTCCGGAGCTCCCACAGAGGACAGAACACAGCAGAAGGGAGTGCTGGATCTCGGTGGATCTCCTATGTCCCAGGCAGAAGTGCTGCGTTCGCTAGTGAGCTGAGCTATTGTCAGACCGGTGTACTCAAAACCAGCGCCCTGAAAGATACTGTCAGCAGGGTAGCACCAAGACAGTGGGCAGGGTTAAATGAGACACGCTTTGAGCTGGTTTTGTGGTAGCCCATGTTGGTACTCAGGGTCAAGAGGATCAGAAATTCAAGGTCATCTTCAGCTACCTAGTGAGTTCTATGCCAGCCTGAACCTGAGGCCAGGCCGGTTGGGTCTATGAAGTGAGACCCTTTTGGGGGGGGGGGAGAAGGGAGGGAGGGAGGTCATGCCTTCAAAATTCATCAGAGAAGTGAGTGGAAGATGGTGTAATTTCTGTGTACTCCTGATACACTTTGGGGACTATATTCACTCAGTGAAAAGACTGGGGAAAAGACACCATCTGAGAGAGAGAGAGAGAGAGAGAGAGAGAGAGAGAGGTGCTTTAGCTTAGGTCTGGGATCCCCCAACACACAATGAAGAACTAGAATGTAATAAAGATGGTCTTCCGAGCAGCCTTTGTGAAGTTCACCAAGCCCTCCACGGTACTGATAATGAAGACCAGATTTCAAAAGTGTATTGTCCTTAAGGAGGGAGAGGTCAAGTGCTTGGTTTGATGGCTTTATGGTGCTGGATACATAATAGAGGCTTATTGACTTGATGAATTATGGAGGGAACTTTGAGCTACAATTACTGCAATTAAAGCTGTATGAACAGCTTCCGCACCAATCAAATAACACACGGAGAAGAGCCATTTTTTAAAAGTAATTGCATTCATTTTTTTTTTTTTGCATAGGTAATAACATCACAGGGAACAAAATTTCCAAAGCCCAAAAGGACACACGCTACACCATCTCTGTCCCGAAGTTCTGATAGTAAATGCACACTTACACAAGCCTGCGTTTCTCTGTGGCCCAGAACAGACTGTGCGACCTCAGGGACTCAAGAGGAAAGACCTTCTGAGCTCAAAAATGTATGTCACCCACCTCAAGCCAAGAGCTTATGGTCTGGCACTTGTACTCAGAGCAGTAGACTCCCTACTCAAGCTGGCAGAGAGGTGCAGTTTTATAGTTTGGTACCAGTAAATCCCAGGGGGCAGCCCGCTCGGAAATGAAGAGGCGAGTGAGAGCTCGGGGGCTTTGTGTTGACTGGGCATACGTGCCAGGTACTGAACTCCGCAACCCATCTATACCTTCAATCAGCCCCTTGCCCCTCTGGGGTCATGAAGGGTGACTGTCTCCGTCTTTGATGTCCAGTAGCTAGTATCACCTGTTTAGGGGTGACTGCTGCAGCCTGCTTTCTGTCCCTTTTATTCAGGGTGAAGCTGTGACTACACAGTAAGTGGGGTGGGGGTGGGGCTTTGCTGGGGACTTTAAGAAGACTTGGAAGCAAGATCTGGCTCTCCCAAGCTGTGTGGCCATGGCCTTTGATTTGACTTCTCTGAGTTTGAGAGAGAGAAAGAGAGAGAGAGAAAACGACCTACCCTGATTAGTTAAAAAGCAAGAGTTACATGCGTGTGAGGCTATCTCCTCGTATGGGCGTTCTCCTGCAAAGGAAGATCATACCTGCTCTATCAGAAGGGACTCAGTCAGCAGCACTTCAGGACCAAGGACGGAGGCTGCTGCCGCCAAACCCAGCACCACTGAAGAGCTGGCTCTTCACCAGCGGAAAGATGGGGTCTTTGCTGCTGAACTCCTGACCATCTAGTACCTGGCCTTTCCGAAAATGGAGCCAAGGTGCTTGAGAGGCGGTCCAGCCTTAAAGAGCACTGGCTGCTCTTCCAGAGGACACGGGTTCTGTTCCCGTCACCCTCATGGTGGCTCTCAACTTCCTGTGGCGTCAGTTTCGGGGAATCCAAATCTCTCTTCTGATGTCCCTGGGCACCAGGCCTGCATGTGTGGTGTGTGTAAGGTAAAACACTCACACACATGAATCTAAAAAGATTAAAAACAATAAAATGGAGCTGCGCATGTACTCTGTGGTGGCCTCCTCTCACGGTTTGGGGAATGTTCCTGCACAGCAATTTATGTTTTTCAGTTTTCATTTCTTTGTTGGAAATAGAGTCTCAAATGTGATTACTTATTTATCTGTTTGTTTGTTTTAAACAGGGCCTCACCTTGTGGCCTGCCTGGCCTAGTTCTTGCTGTGTAGACCAGTAGACCAGACTGGACTCAAACTCACAGATTCCCCTTACACTTGGATGAATCATTTGATCTACCTGTTTTGCTTGGTCCTATGTCAGGCCTCATCTTCTGGCCTCTCCTTCACATGCTGGCATTGCACCTAGACACAAGGAATGAGCAAAGTGCTTTAAAGCCAAGGCCAACAGGTCCATATCTGACTCACTGAGGCGGAGTATCCTCCCACTGTGGGCCTCGTCCGCGTCTGTCCGCGGGTACCCTCTGGTGGCACTGGAACGCAACTACAGTTACTCGAGGGAGGCACGGCGTGCCGCAGCGCCCCCTGGCGTTGGTCAGGACAGGCGCCGAGGGCAAAGGAACTGGAACCAGGCAAGAGACCCGATGGCTTCTTGATCCACTGTGAGTGCGGGGTTCGGAGCGAGGGTTGTACGCGAGTATCTTGAAGTCTAGTGTGCATGCATGTAGGCTTTGCACCTTTATGGCGGCAGGGTTCTCGAACTCTGGCTATCTGTTGTGTCGAATGTGTGTGGTATGTGTGAGCCCACCCGTTCAGAGGCGGATAGGTTGGTAGTAGGGAGGTCTGCGCCTCCAGTGCAGGGCGGAGTCCTCACGGAGGCGTGAAATTGGTTTGGAGCAAACACATTACGGAAAGCAATTACCAGGGAGAGGTTCTGGGCCCGCGGGACCATCAGCTAGGAGGCTGGGGAGGAAGCTCCCTGGCTTGCAAGTGTCTGGATGTCTAAACCCCAGAAAGGGCCTTCCTAATGCTGCTTCCTTAAGGGGCAAGGCGTGAAGTTAGGTACAGCCTCTTCAAACCGACTCCTCCGGACCTCCTTTTTTTGTCTTCCCTTCTCGGCCACTTGAAAAGGAGCCCCACACCCAGTGTCGCCCAGACCACTCTCACCCTTCACACCTCGCTCTTTGTAGTCTAACTAGCCCACGTGTGCTCCGTGATGACTGCGTGACTTCTCTGAGGGCAGGGCCATGTCTCACAGACTTACACTTACTGCCTTAACCCCGGCAGTTAGGAAGCACAAAACGAACCGTGTGGAAGGAATCAAACAGAACCTCATTCAGAACCCATTAACAGGGTGCCTGAAAAGTTGTGTCCAGGGCAACAAGGTCCCCTTGGAATAGGCTCTTAAACTCATGCACTTCCAGCCCGTCGGTCCATCTGGCCGTTGTGAGCATGTCTTCTCTGAGATGTCTAACAGGTTACTCTGGCTAACACAGACCCCACCAAATCCCTTATCTTAGTACTTCCGCCCACCTAGTTGTTCAAGCCAAAACAAAACAAAAACCCTGAGGCACGCTGGGTGCCTGCCACACGCAGCCCATCAGCAAGCACTCCCCATCCACCACCCACAAGATTCCAAAGCTAGTCCACTGCTGTGTCCCTCACATCCCATGATGGCTGCAAACGGCTCCAGCTGGATTCTCTGTGCAACCCCTTCCTCGAGCCAGCTACTCTCAGCCAGGCAGCCTGAGGAACACTGGCCCAGGGACTTTTCTGCTTTCCCCCACATTCTACTTACACGCTGGCTCCTCCTTGTCATTCAGATGTCAGGTTAATGCTGAGACTTCCTCAAAGAATCCAAAACAACTCCCCATTGCTGTCTCATCGCTGTTTGCATCTGTCTATACTTATTACTGTGTGCAACTTTTTCTTGTTTGCCTAGCGTTTTCCAGCAGAGTAGGGGGGATAGAAGGCTGGCCCTAGCATCCCCTGCAGCCTTGTGCTTGCTCAGCTTAAAACGCAGGAGGCACAGCAATTATGGACAAATAAATGAACTTGTGACATCCTCCAGAAGCCCTCACCTCAGGGATAAGATAGCATCTCCAGAGAGACCCACTCCGGATGGAGAAGTACTTTCTGCAAAGGGGCCCCGTCAACACCTGGAAATCGTCTTCTGACCTCCACCTTGGGAGGTGCAGGCCTGCTGGGACCAGACAGCCTGGCTTTTCCATGGCTAAGGCTATAGACAAACCCTGGACCCTCTGGTCGTACCAAAGGCCGCTCTCCAGTCCTCAAGCCACGGGATAGCACCTGAAGCTCAGGCTGGAAAAGTGCTCTGAAGCCTGGGAACTCTGTCCAGTGGCCCTTGCCATCACAGACAACAGTGCACTCGCTCAGCGCTATGCGTTTAGGTTGCTCTGTTCCCTGGCTTGAAACACCCTGGCACTGCAGGGCGGGCGGTGGCACTCCACCCTACCCTCTTACAGATGTGGAAACCTGAGTCTAGGGGAGGAGGCCTTTGTTCCACAACAGGCTGATGGCAGAGTTGAAGGTAGACCCCAGATCTGGTGACAGCTCACACTCTTCCACGACAAGACTACGTTGAAAGAAGTGGGCTAAAGGGGCGGAAGAGATGCTTCAGCAGTTAAAAGCACTGGATGCTCTTTCCAAGGACCTAGGTTCAGTCCCCAGCACCCACATGGCAGCTACCAAACATCTGTAACTCTAGTTCCAGGGGATTTGACTCCCTCTTCTGGCCTCCAGGAACTACAGGAATATACACTATGAACACACATATATTCAGGTAAAACATCCTTATGTTAAAAAAAATAAAGCGGTTAAAAAGCACAGAAACCAGTCATGCCCCTGGACCTACAGAGTTAGGCGGGCAGTGGGTAAGCATGATTATTTCTCTACACCCGGACCCCTGGTGCTTACCCAAGCCACAGCTGCTCTGTCTCCCACATACACAAGCCCTTTCCCAGGACCTCTCTCATCTCCAGCCCCCGGCCACCAGCTTCCTGTCACACACCTGCCTTGCCTACCCTTCAGGCCACCTCTTCTGACAAGCTCTCACTCTGGAGGCCATTTACCTTTGCATGTGAGGAGAGGAGCAGGTTGGCCTGAGACCTGCTGGTGGTTATTGAAGGGAGAGGTAAGCTAGCTTGCACAGGGGAAACCCATCCTGATTCTATGTGAGAAAGTCGCCTCAAGGATGGTGGAGGCGGGTTGGCAACAGTTCTAAATCACACAACCTTTAGAGGTTTTGTTTCGTTTTGCTTTTTTGTTTTGTTAAGAGAAAGTCTCACCACAGTGCAGTGTGGTCATTCTCCACGCTCCTGCCTCTACCTTCCAAGGGCTAAGATAACCCCTGCACCACTGTTTTGACTTCAGCCTAGAGATGTCCAGTGCACATACAGGCTTGCACAGTTGCTCTCTCTCTCTCCATCAGTCTCAGCTGGCTCCTGACCTGGCCTCTTCCCTCAAGTGTGGATCAAGGCATCCACTCCTGGCTTGTGCTGGCAGGATGGCCTGTCTTCAGACACTTGTTGCACAGAGGCGCCCTTGGGGAGCCTGCTTTGTTCTCAAGGCAGTGCACACCTGGAAAGAGAGCCGGGGCATCAGACAACTGCAGTGGCCTTGGAAGAAGCTGGTTCAGGCCAGACCTTCCTCTTGTCTCCTGCCCCCCAAGCACAGCAACTGTCCCCGGCAGCCAGGACTGCCCCCGGCAGCCAGAGCTCACCTAGTAGAGCACATCCTCAAAGTCCAGCTGCAGAAAGCGGAGCAGGCGGGAAGGTAGGGGAAGCCGTGGCAGCGCGAGAGGCAGGCAGTCCTCCAGGTGAGCTCGGAGTGCACATCGGCAGAGATGCTGCAGCGAGCGGGGCTGCCTCACCAAGGCAAAGAGGGAAGAGTAGAAGCGATGGTGTTTCTGCAGACGGGAGGAGGGACTCAGTGAGGACAGCCTTGGAAAACTGGTACCCACGACTCACGGCTACCACTGGGAGCCTCATAGAAACTGCCAGAACTCACTCCAAGAGGGTATATTTCTCTAGACATGAGTGGGCTGCTGGGTAATTTCTATAGAGGCCTGACAAGGCAGCCCCTTAGGGAATCATGTCTCTCAGGGCCAAGCCGAGTGATGTGTTCATGGCCCTGGATGCTGCTGACCTGTAGAATTTCAGATGGTACCGAGCCCTTGGCCTCCTCAGGAAGCTGCACCACACAGTAGGTGTTCATCAGGACCTCGATGGTCCGTGGGGACATGCACCAGCGATCCAACACCTGCAAGAGCAAGAGACAGGGGACCCTGTCAGGCCACCTGGATGACTGGATGATGAGAACAGCAGCTGTAGGGTCCCCAGAGAGTCTGTAGTTCCAACACCTGATTTGTGTGTGACCTCATTTGAAAATAAGGCTTAATTTACTTGATTCTTTTTTTCTTTTTTAATTTGCTTGTTTTGCCTCTATGTATGGCTGTGCATCACATATGTGCAGTGCTGTGGAGGTCAGATGAGAGCATTAGAGTCCCTGGAACTGGAATGAGGGATGGTTGTGAGATGGTTGAGTCACAACACCCACATTGCCGTGCTCTTCTGGATGTCAGAGGCCCATGGAGGAGTGGCAAGACCTTTAAACTGCCAAGCCATCTCTCTAGCTCCTCTCAACAAATGTATCAAGACGGACTCAAGCACGCAGAGAACCACCTGCCTTTGCCTCCCAAGCACTGGACTTAAAGATGTGTGCCACCACGCACTGCAAAATATTTTTAAATTACGTGTCTACGTGTCTGTGTGTGTATGCTGGTTTGTGGGTGCCTGCAGAGGCCAGAAGCAGGGGGTCAGAGTCCGTGGAGCTGGAGTTACAGGCTACGGTGAGCCACCCAGTATGGCAGCCCCATCATTCTGGAATGCTGGAATCACAGATTTGCACATGCTCAGTTGGGAAACAGGACTTTTGCAGATTCAGTCAAGCTGATAGTCGTTAGGATGGTCTCGATCCAAGATGGCAGTTATTCTTATCTGAATAACAGGGCTTGGATAGAATTTAGTAGTTTGCCTAGTGTTCATGAGGCCCTGGCTCAACCCCCAGTACCATAGAAACCGAGTATGTAATACCTGAAAGCCCAGTAACTGAGAGGTGAAAAGAGGAAGATCAAAAGTTCAAGGTCATCCTTAGTTGTAGCCCAAGTTCAGAGCCCATCACAAAGGTGTCCCAATGAGAATATCAGAGTGATATGGGCACAAGCCAAGGAATACTAAGGAATCACCAAGGCTGGTGGGAAAAGCCTTGCCAGCACCTCTATTTCAAGCTCCAGGCGCCAAACCTGGGAGCCGAGGGCTTCCATGACTATAAGTGGCCCAGTGTGTGGTACTTTGTTGGAGCAGCACCAGGAATCAACAACTGTGGTTCTTGTGTTCCCCACGGCTGGTGCCAGATTCTTTTCCCAGCAGTTTGCAGGCACCAACCCTTAATCCTCATCTCGACCAGATATGGGCTGCTATTGTCCCCAATTTATAAGCGAGGGAAACTGAGGCACAAAGAGGTTAAGAACCTTAGCCAGGTTGCAGAGTTAGCAGGCGTACCCGGCATGGTGGCTCCCTGCTTCTAACCACCATGCCACCCTCCTCTCCCGTGCCTCTCCAGGGCTCTGTCCTGGATTTTCCTGATGGCTAAAGGTTAGCCCTTGGCCTGGAAGTGGGCTCCTGAGCAGATTAAAAACATCAGAGCTGGGGCTTGAGACAGCTCAGAGCTTGTCTTGCATACACGAAGCCTCTGACTCAGCTGTGAGTGCCACATAAACTTGGTGTGGGTTACAGACCGCTCTTCTTAGCATGGGGCGGGGGGGGGGGGATAGACTCAGAAGATCGGAAGTTCAAGGTCAACTTTGGCTACATAGAGAGTTGGAAACCTGTCTAGGCTACATGAGACCTTTATGAGACCCTTCTCATAAAAACAAAAGCCCTCACTGCAAAGATGCCTCAGTGGTTAGAAGTACTCGCTGATCTTGAGGAGGACCAAGCATCTACACGGCAGCTCACAACCATTACAACTATGGTGCCAAGGAATCCAACGCCCTCTCCTGGCTTCTGTAGACACCAGCCATATGCCTGAAGGCAAAATACCCACACGACTAAAAATGTTAAATGTTGTACGTTAAAACAAACAAACAAACAACCTCGGGCCTGGTGGCACAGGCCCTTTAATCCCAGCATTCAGAGGCCGTGGACCTGCAGTGTGCTGTCTCCCCAGGGAGGATTCCCGCATATAACCTGCACCTACTCCATCATGGGCACCAGCGCACGCACTAGGGACCTGCTTCCCAGGATAGTGCCAGTGGGCAGTGGAGCAGGTGGAAGGACCTCGTTTGGGCACAGGGGCTCCTGGAGCCAGCATTTTATGTGCTCGACGCCTGCATTTCTTGTCCTGTCCCTGAGAAGTGCTTATCAGAACTGTCTCAGCTCAGTCCGCCCCAGGCTTTGCGTTACATCTCTGCTGGAATGCCTGCTCTGTTCCCTCCCTCTCTCAAAGTCCCCATGCCAAGTCCCGCCTCCTGGAAGCCCAGGCAGTCCCCCAGCCCTCACCAAGGCTGTGCCAGCTAGCTTTGCCCTCTCTTTGGCCTGATCACTCCTTATATTGGTATGCCTGGCAAGAGCTTTCTCATTGCATCAACTTCACCTGACAACACCAGCCAAGGCGCCCTGAGCACCACACGTAGGCCACACCCCATCCTAAGTTACACCTACACTAACCCTAGAATGTAGAGAACCCTGTTTTACAGACGAGGGAGCAGGTCCATGAAGGTTAAGCAACAGGCACATACAGGTGTCTGGCAGAACCTACTCTGTCTTCTCTCTCCTCTCTCTCTCCCTCCCTTTCCCTTCCTCCTTCCCTCTCTTCCTCTCTCTTTCTACTTTCTCTCTCTCCAGACAGTTTCTTGTGTAGCCCTGGCTGTCCTGGAACTCATTCTCTAGACCAGGCTGGCTTGGAACTCAGAGATCCACCTGCCTCTGCCTCCTGAGTGCTGGGATTAAAGGCCGGTGTCACCACCACAGGCCCCATACATGAGTCTCAGAGTCATCCTTGCTGGGAGAGTTGGGATCCTAGCCAAGGCTACAGGGGCTGCAGACTGTGAGAAAGAGACAAATGGTCTCTTTATTCTGTCCTTTATTCTGTCCCCTTTCCCCAGGACAGCTAAGGGCCAGAGCAGGCTGGGGGCAGAGGTGGGAGGGGTCTGGAGATGTCTATCTTCTGTACCAGGTCCTCTTCCTGGCCCTGCCTGGCGGGGAAATCATTAGCTGTCAGAACCGCAGTCAGATTACAGGGAATTGCTCGTCTCCTAATTATCTGGTGTTAATAGGAGATTAATTAGTGTTAATTGTTGATTTTCTTGTATTTTCCCAAAGGGGAGACCAATCTGCCGAACTCTCGGGCTGTTTAATTATTTGGTCTTGCTTAGGAATCCAGACAGATGCTGCTAGGTTTATGAGCAAAGGGGAAAAGCAAGGACAGCGGTGATGGCTTGGGGGAGTGAGGCAGGGTTAGCAGGGACCTGCCTACAGCCGCCACCCTCCCACAAGCCAGTTTAGCTTTGTTCCCCTTGGAAAACAACTGTCTCCACTCCAGGCCCAGCTGCCTCGTGTTGTAACGTAGCTCAACTTAGCATGGGACAAAGCCCCTTCCCAGGACACCCCAGCCCCGCATCTCAAGTAGAACTCGCTTCATGATTGCAACTGGAAGATGACAGGGAAAAGCTTTTTAAAAAGTGTAGTGACAGCTAGCAGGGTGTGTGTTTAGGAGGGGGCCCTAAACTTTCAGAAAGCAGGGTTATGTTCCTTTCCCCAAAGCGCAAGGCTCTTGGAGCCTTGTGGAGCAGATTCAAGCTCTGCCCTCGGGGAGGCTTGCCCACGCCCAGGGCACATCTCGCTCCGCTGATTCTGCTGCCATGGCAGGTGTCTTCAAACTATCTTCCTCAGCTCAGGGCCTGAAGAAGGCCCCTAAGCCCTCCCTGTTGCCCTCAGTGGTCCTGGTTCTTCTGTCTTCCTGATCCTTTGTAACTGTCCCACTCTGCCCTCCGTCTACCTTCCTCACACCTGTTTGCACGCGCCTGTTGCTTCATCTCTTTCCTTATTTTTAAGCTTTCGCTTACTTGTTGCATGAAAGAAGAAGCTCATCTATCTGTTCAGCTTGCTCCAAGTTGCTTTGAGAAGCAAACCTGACCCAGGTAATGGCCTTCTCCCTGCCTCCAGCCCCATGTCCCCTGTACCTTGGGGAGCGCCCCTGGCCAGACTCGGACAGCACCATGGTTGAGCAGAGCTCGCACCGTGTGCTCAGGGCTGTGGGCCAGGGCTGTAGCCGGACCTTGCAGAGCACAGTGCAGAGGCATGTGACCCCCATAATCCATGGCATTAGCGCTGACGCCACGGGACAGGAGCAGCTCCACGACAGCCGAATGGCCGTGGCGGCAGGCCAGGTGCAAGGGCCGCTGCTGGTCCTGGTTGGCAGCGTCCGCATCTGCCCCAACTGAGATCAGCAGGCGGCACAGCTGAAAACAGCGGTCGGCGGTGGCCTCGGCATCCGTGGGGGATTGACCGCGGGCGTCGCAGGCAGCCAGAAGTGGCGTCCAGCCTTCAGCATTGCGGGCGTCAGGACAGGCGCCCCATCTCAGCAGCAGGTCTGCCAGCTCCACGTGGCCAAGCCGGGCAGCTATGTGTAAAGGGGTCTCTTCTTCATCCTCAGTCCGACCATCCACTTGTGCCCCAAACTTCAGGAGCAACTCCACACACCTGATCAGGGAGAGATGGGAGGTGAGGAAAATGGGCAGCAACCCTGCTTTTCTGCTGGTCTGAGCACAGCTAACACCCAGGGAGCTCTGGGGAACCTCGTGGTTCTACACCCTCCTTCCATCCAGGCTTTCTCAGAACGTGAGGCAGAACCCACAGCGGAGGCCCTATACTTGCTCTCTGACTAGTGAACTCAAATGATCCTCTTGACTCTGCCTCCAAAGTTCTAGGATTACAGGCACCAGCCATTACAGACCATGGGGACACCTCTCTGGGTTTTGTTTTAAAAGATTTATTTTTGTTATTTTTAATGAGAGAGAGAGAGAGAGAGAGAGAGAGGGAGAGAGAGAGAGAGAGAGAACTCAAAAGCATTAGATTCCCTGAAGCTGGAGTTATAGGCAGTCATGAGCTGCTTGATGTGGGTGCTGGGAACCGAACTCAGGTCTCTGAAAGAGCGGTACATGCTCTTAACTGCTGAGCTACCTCTTCAGCCCCAACACAGCAGCTTTAAAAACAAACCGAGTGCTGAAGAGACTGCTCAGCAGTTAGGAGCACTGGCTGCTCCTCCTGAGGACCCAGGTTCAATTCCCAGCACCCATACAGTGGCTTACAACCATCCAAACTCCAGTTCTAGGAGATCCTGCAGCCTTCTGACCTCCTTAGGCACATACGGGACACATACATGTTATGCAGGAAGAACATTCACACACATGAAACAGACTAAATTAAAAAACCCAAAGAACAAAACCCCACAGCCCTGAGTTCTTCCTGCAGGATCATCCCCTACAGCCTCATGAGAGGACAAGTCACAAGCAGTTGCCAGTTCTGCTGACGGCCCGGCTTCAGTCCCTGGTACTCTCATCACTCTCACGTCCCAGAGGACACCAGGGCTGCAAGAACTGAGGATCTTGCAAAGGTTTAGACTCTAGTCAGATGCAGCTGATGGGGCCTAGCAAAGCGAGTGCTGGCTGCTTTCCCGAAGGACCCTTCTTTGCTTTCCTGTATCCATGTCATTCTACCATGCCCGGCATGGAAACTTTTATATTCTATGTATTTTATTGCAATTACATGGTTTGTTTGTTTGTTTGTTTGTTTGTTTGTTTGTTTTTGGGGGGGCTTTTAGGAAACTTTAACTTACATGCATGGTTCACTCTTTCTCTCTGTCTCTGGTTCTTTGAGACATGATCTGACCTGAAACTTGCTATGAAGCCTACACTGTCCTAAAAGTGACTGTGTAGCCAGGGATGACCTTGAACCTGGATCCTCCTGCCTGCACCTGCCTATGCTAGGATCACAGGTGTATGCTACTACTCCCCGATTCGCTTTAGATTTTCACTGGACTGAGGTGGCACAGAACATCTCAACTGTAATGCGACTAGCCCCGTGAAGTCCTCTGGAGGTGAGTGAGTTTAACAAGGGGACAAGGTCCTTAGGAGGGGACTCAAGAACGGATGACTTGCCCCTTTCTGCAAGGCATGCAGTGGTGGAGGGAGGGCTCGACCTCATGGTTTCCCAGGCCCCTTCTGCTCAGATTCCGTGCTGACTACACAACGGTAAGTGTGGTCTCATCTCTCCTGAATCACATGTCACAATTATGTAGGTCAAAGCAAAGGAATATTTCCCTACAAAAGATGAATCACAGACACACTTGGATGTGTCAATCAGTGTCTTATGAACTAAAGTTTACTATTCTGTTGTGCTTGGGATGGGACCCGGGGCGCTGAGAAGACTATGCAAGCACTCCCACCAAGCCATATTCCCAGCCCTTGAACCTAGTCCTTTTCCCCTTCAGTATGCGGCCACGGGTGACTGCAAACTCCTAACCCTCCTGTCCCCATCTCTCAAGATGCTGGTCTTACGACTGTGCACCGCCAGGCCTGGTGATATTGGAATCCAGTCTGCCACTCTGCCCACTGGGACTTCCTCAAGTCCTCTATAGTCTGTTGGGGCTAAAGAACAGCAGGCTCTCTGAGGGTAGGACCATGCTTAACACAATGCCCGGAACATCAGAGGAGCACAGAAAACATTAAAAACTTCATAGCAATACTGTCTTCTCCACTTTGGAGCTGGCAAGAGGCCTCAGTGAAGGCCATGAGGCTGGATGCCTGCCCCAGCTCTCCACTCTCCCCCAGAGGAGCAGAAAAACCATCTCAGATTGAAGCTGCTGCAGTTTCTCGAGTAAGACCAATGGATGGATATCTTAGGAACGATTACATAGCAATACTACCAGCCCTTGTCCCCTTGAGAGTGAGTCCAGGATGAGAGGTCACTCACTCAAGGATACCGGGGCCCCGGCAGAGATGCAAAGGGCGTTTCCCATCCTCATCAGGGAGGTTGGGATCTGCTCCTGCCACCAACAGCACATGAACACAGGCAGTGTGACCTGCAGTACAGGCCTCATGCAGGGCAGTGCGGCCCCCGGGAGCACTGTCTGGCCTTGCTCGACGCCTCAGCAGCAACCGAAGAACTTCAGTGTGGCCACGGCTGGCTGCCACATGCAGTGGAGTGGTCAGCTGCTCTTCGTATGTCAGAGACCAGAGTCCTAGGAAGGGAGAGACAGAGGCCTCAGATCCTAATGGATGATAAAGAGCTGCCAGTCAAGGGGATGAGGCTGACAGAGGGAGAATGAAGGAACCCAGAGCTCGGTCTACAGCCTCCCCTCTCCCACTCAGACCCTTTCACACCCCGCATCCCATACTCAGAGCACGGATGTTGAAGCGGAAATCTCTCCATCGCTCTGGGTCGCTGGTATCAAAGACAGAATCAGGAGCCAGGCCAGTGCTGGAGTCCGCGAGGATTCGAGAGACAGAGCCCACATCCCCAGCCAGAACTGCCTGCCAGAAGGCCAGGGCAGGTCCCGAAGCCGTGCGGGTGATGATAGGTCCCAGGCCAGGCTCAAGGTGCTCCTCAGACCCTCTGTCAGGCTTTTCCACCAGCCGGGCACAGAGGGTGTGCCTGTCACCCTGAGGCTCTCTTTGGCCCCTGCACTCCTCTGGGGACCAACTCATGACATATGGGGAAGGGGATAGTGTCAGAAGGAAAGAGGAAAAGATTATAGGCAGAGAGGACGAAGGGAGAGAGACGCAGGCAGAGAAGGCAGAGGCCCTGTGTCACTCGCTGGAGCCTGACCTGGCCACGATGTCCAAGCAGGAGCTATTCTAGGCTCCACATGATTTCTATCTTGGGCCAAAGGCTAGGTTGTTGGGAAGGTTTGGTGTAGGGGAACAGCAGCTAGGGACTTGGGCTTGCCTTCAGTTCTTGGGAACTCTGTTCCTGAGGCAGCCAGCCCAGCTCCCACCTCAGGCCTCCCAACCCCCAACTGCCTCTCACCCCTCTCGTGGCTGCTCCAGCGAGGCTCAGCTGCCCGGCTCTCCAGCAGCAAGTCAGCTGTGCTGTGAGGGGGGAACAGGTCCCGTAGCCTTGCCAGGTCCCCGGTGTATAGGGCGTTCTGCAGAGCCATGTCACGGCACAGCAGCGGTGATGACCGAGAGGTCCTCCGGGCTGGGCAGGACTGAGATCTCCAGATCTGGTAGGCAGGGGCAGTGGGAAGGCACCCCAGATTGTGTCTCCTGTGGGGAGGGGAGCTCCTTCCCCAAGGCATGGCTGGTTTCTAGGAGAGGGAGCCAAAGAAGCAAGACTTGGGCCACGCTGAAGCTGGACTGTCAGGCAGTGCTGGGCCCCAGCCAAGAGCAGCCTGGTATGGGAGGAGCCAGGGAGCCACAGGCCAGCTGTAAATAGCACCGGGGTGTCAGTACCCAGATGAAAGGTTCCTGCTGGAGAGAAGGGAGAAGGGGGAAGAACAGAATGGGGAGGAAGCAACTCAGAGCTTCACTTCCATGGAGGAATGGCACCAAGGTTGAAGCTCTGTTCTAGCCATTGCCTCTCAGACAAGAAAACATCCCAGAGAAGGAAAAGTGTGCCTAGAGCCACACAGGTAACTTGCCCCAGAGCCAGGACTGGAGCCAGGATTCTAAGCTCTTTCTTGCCTGTCACTTGTTCCATCATCAAGTCAGTTCCAGGTGACTCATCTGTGACCTCAAGGGAGGCTGTTGGTTCCTGTTCCTCGATTACAACCTTCCACTCCTGAGCCACAGCCAAAGGAACCTGGTAGAGATGGGCCTCAGAGACTCTGTGTGAGGCGTCCTCAGGGCATCTCCGCTTCTGTCCAGGAAAACAGGGCTCGGTCCTCAGGCAGCAAGAGAATCGCTCCTGTGCCCAACCCAGACGTTGACACTGCTCTGATCCTCAGTGCTCATCCTAGGTGCTGACCTCCATTCCCATCCTAGGTACCAACTCCCTGGCCATCCCACATTCTGGTTTCCACCCACTCTTGGTGCCAACCTCCTCTGCCCATCTCAGGTGCTAACTCCACTCCCTGGGTGACCCCCAGCATCCCCTGCATGGCATCTCTATCCTGCCATCTTTGCATGGGCATCTTAGCTGGAAGCAATACAGGAAGCGGCAAGCCTTTCTGCCTGGTCGTCAGCATAAGATAGACTGCTCTGGTTGAGGAAGGTGGGGGTAAAAGGCAAAGAATGGAAAAAGGGAACACTGAAGTAAAGCCGGCGGGCTCAGCTCCATTGTGTCTGCCAGGCCCAGGGACTGGGTTGCTCTAGCTTTGGAGCTCTCCCCTGGTCTGGTTCACACTGGCTCTTTTTTTGTTTTGTTTTGTTTTGTTTTGTTATTCAATACAGGGTTTCTCTGTTTAGCTGTGGCTGTCCTGGAATCGATTTGTAGACCAGGCTGGCCTTGAGCTCATAGAGATCTGCTGCCTCTGCCTCCCAAGTGCTGGGATTAAAGGCGTGCGCCATCACCACCTGGCCTCACACTAACTCTTAACCACGGGCTTTTCTCATTTCCTCTCTACAAGGTTGGCAAGTCTGCCTTCTGAGAAAGCACGGTGTCTTCTTCAGCCCTTGCTGACAGATGGTCCTGGCCTCTTGAGCTTGCTACCCACTTAGCAGGGACCTTTGAGGAGAGAGGCTGTAATAGGTACTTTTTGCCTTGCCTGACTGAAAACAAAACAAAAAGAACAAACAACCCTCACACAACAACAACAAACTTGACAGAAACAACTTAAAAAATACAAGATTTATTTTAGCTCACAGTACAAGGGAACACAGTCCATGAGGTTGGGACAGCAATGAAGCAGGAACGGGAGACAGCTGAGGACATTGCTTCAGCCATCAGAACGCACAGAGTGAAGAATACCAGTGCCTGGCTTACATTCTCTTTTGATTTCAGTCCAATACCCCACGCCGTGAAATGGTTCCATCCACACTTAGATTAGGCCTTCCCACCCCAATCTATAAAACTCTCTCCCGGATATACCCAGAGACTATCTCCAAGGTGACTCCAAATTCTAGATCCTGTCAAGGTGACCATCAATGTCAATCATTAACCACCACAGAGGGGAAAGGCCCCGTAGTGGGCTTGCCCCCAGCCATTTCTATGATCCACCACGGCCCACTCCCACCTTCCTCAGGCCCTCACTCTGTCGATGCTTTGGCAAGCATAACTGAGTCTCAGGTCAAGAAGGATGTCCTGTCCAACATCTCCTCACTTTGTAAAGAAGGAAACCAAGGTACAGACCGGTTATACAGGGGATGAGTGCCAGCGGGCTAAAGCAAAGTCAACTAACTCCCTTCTAGACACGGTATTTGTCCCTTTGGATCTTCTCTCCTTTGCCCTTCCCTTCCTGCTCTTTTTTTTTTTTCATCCTTCTCCCTTAAATACCTTGAGCAAGTGGAGAGCCAGCACAGGAGAAATGACAAGATAAAGTCACAGATGTGGTAGGAGGGGCTCTGACAGCCAGAGGTGTGTTCAAGGAGGCAGGGTCCAGGGTCAGGAAGACGTAAAGATGATGAACAAGAAAAGAAAGCCCTCAGCAGCCACCTGGGTCTTTATGTATCTGTCCTGCCCTTCGCCCTGGAGGCTCCACTCATTCACCACAATATACCATCACTTCTTTTTCTTCTTCTCCTTTGCCAGTCTGGCCTCCTCAGCCTCCTGTTGGTCCCTGCTAAATTTTATATTCTTTTTTGCCAGTGGAGTGTTGAAAAACCATTCCTGGGTTGGCAGAGAAGTGGAGATTCAGTTCGCTGCATAGAACCCTCCTTTACCCCTATCATGTTCTCCCATCATCCTCTCTTGCTTGGCACAGCAGGGGATTCTCCTAGTTACCTGTCATTACTTCAGGCCATAGTGTCAGCCATTTTTGAGAGGCATGTTCACTTCCCTTCACCCCTACAGGCCTCTGTGACTCCTAAGGTCAACCTTCCTCCAGAGATGATGACCAAATCAAAGTGCTGGCTAGTGCCAGCAGCACAGCTGGTCCTTTCCAGCTTCTTTCCTCCGGTTCTTACACCTTTGCCCCTCCTTAGTATTAATTGTCTCTTTCCCTGCTGATGTCCAAGTTCATCTACCCTGACCATCTCCTGGCAATGTAGGGGGATGGTGGAAGGAGCCCCAGGCATGAGGAGGGCTGACTCCAGGCTAGCATTGCTGAAACCACTGACCCTGGCCTAGCAGCTTCACCTTTAGGGACTCCTCCTCTTCCCTGTATACTGGATCCATCCTTGCCAGGTGCCCCACAAACTCAGACGCAACCAGTGGCCTCTTGGACATCAGAAAGAGCCGCCGTTCAGTCAGTGTCAACTGGATGGCATGTAGAATACGACCAGCTGTGTAGCCATCAGACACCCTAGACAGGGCACTAATATCCAGATTCTGGCCCAGCTGTGTTCCTGGTCTCCGCTTCTCTAGCAAGTGTTTCCAGAGCACTGCAGGAGGAGGAGAGAATGGGGCTTAAGGGTCAGAGAGCAGCAGAAAAGCCGAGTCCATAACCTCTGCCTGTGTCTGAGGCGATCTGGACCCCTGGAGAGCAGCATGTCTCTCCAGGAAGGTGTGGGACCTGGAAGGCACACAGCCAGTGTCCATTACACGGAGGTCAGGAGCCAGAGAACTGGACTGCTAGTATATGGCTTTTCCAGGCTCGTCATTTGGTGCTGGAACTGAGGCTCAGGGCAGGAGTCAGGGGGCAAGGAGAAGGCAGGGGCTCAGTAGGGTGCTGGTCCCTGGGTTCCATTCTTGGCCTCACCATAACGAGAAGCATAATCAGGCCGGGGTAGGAAGAGGATGCGCTCATAGAACCGGCACAAGCCCTTCATTTCAGCCAGCTGTGGGTGCTCCGTAGTCCCTATCAGCATCACACGGTCGCCAGGGCTCAGCTGTTTCGCGGCCTTCACGAGGTCTTTCTTTATTCTCTTTGGGTCCATCTGCCCCAAGGAGAGAAGGCTGTGGGTTTGGGGCATGGCAACAGAGGCTGTGGGACCCCTGTTCTCAGGGCACACAGGTTAGGGTAGCCTTCACATCAGTCCTGAGAGCATCAGGGGGAAGCCCTGTGTTCAGCTCTGAGGCAAGGAAAGTAAGCATGATGATGAGAGGGGGCTTGAGCAAGGTGTCGGAGACCTTTTCACTGACTTGAAAGAATTCATTGACTTGAGCAGGACTGCCAGCCTTGCCCCAGGCTCTGGCTGTCTTCACAGCCCTTTCTGTCCAGTCCTTACCAACTTTTCTTCCTTTGGGACCTTCTTGTAGAAGATTTTCTCAGTATTTCCAATCCAGATGACAGAGGGCTGAAGGATGCGGGCCACCTGCAGAAACCAGATGTCAGACATCCCTGAGCAATTTCCCCCCCACCTAATCAGACCCCAGTGGCTGACCTTGGAGCCCCTAGCTTCTACTTGCTCTCCTCTGCCTCCATCTCCTCCCAGTTCCCCAGCCCAGGGGCTTCAGAGGATCCCCAGGCTCCCACAAGGACTTGCTGGAAGGATGTCAGTTCAGATCCCTGTACTGACAGTTTTTCCCCAAACTGTCGGGAAAGCTCCCCCTTCGGTTATCTCTTTCCTGAGAAGTCAACCCGCTCGTCAAGCTCAAGGCTGCAGACCTTAAAGACTATGTGCACCAGCAGCTGCGCCCCAGTCTTTCCCGGGTATTTGCCCATCAC